CCCCCCCCCCCCCCCTCGTCTACCGCACCACCCTCGTCCTCTCCATTTCGCGAACTCCCTGTGCCTGTATCGACTTGCTCCTCCTTCGCATTAGGTCGCGGCGGTGTTGGCAGCAGGGGCGGGCGGCACCCTTGCTCCCCCTCCCCCCTCCCCTTTCTCTGGTTGACGACGACCCACTCTTCTACCGAGCCGAGAGGCACCCTGGTTTTTGCAATCATTTGGTGCGTTGGTGGAGGGCAGGGCAGGGTCATGGCACGGATGGCACGGCTGGCAGCCCCTTCGCGCTGGCTCTATTTGTTTCGGTTCTGATGAGAGGGCTTGCCGGAAATTCCCCCGGCTCACCCGCTTGTAGCTAGCTCGGACGGCGAGGGATGTTCGGGGATGTGGGCAAGACCTGGCCGTGCATGGCCCGTTGGCACGCCTGGACCAAGTAACCCTAACCTGTCCGCATCGTCGCAGATAACCCTACACTACACTACACTGAGATATATTTTCGCCCACCCAACGAACAAAGTGAGCGTCAGAACTCACTGCCCCATCCATCGTACTCGAAAACATATCAGTTTCGCGAGGCTCAAATATAACAAGACCCATATGTTCCGGAAACCTCTCGGTCTTGTTGAGGTGACAAGAAACCGTCATCATTTTCAATTACCTGCGCATTATATGGGAGGAGTTGGTGTACTGGACTCCGTTCACGCCGTACCAGGTGTACGTGTTGCCGAGGTGGGACACCTTATCGGCGGCGTTGAACTCGAACACGAAGCGAGACACCTGCTGAGTGGAATTGCCGAATTGCCAACAACGAATGGCACATGTACATCCACCCCGTTTGAGAAAAGGTGACCGACCGCGATTCGCATGAGTCAACTCTGTGGTTGTGTGAGACTCCTCGCGGACTTTGGTGGTGGTTTAGATTAGACCCAGAAAACGGACAAGAACGGAAGAGCCCTCATCAAACATAAACCAGCACAGCACCAGGCTTGACGCCTAAACGGGGAGCCACAAGCCTACCACGGCCACTACCAACACCTCGAGCGCGCAGGAACACACAAAAGCACAGCACAGGAACAAGCAGACATCTTGGCAGATAGCCTTTCCAAAAAAAAGAACCTTCTCACTACATCAGCCACCGTCTCATGCTCGGCCGGCCTATCTTGGTCACTACGACCAAGCACCTCTGAACGACAGCTAGCTCACCTCGTTATCTGGGATGTCTCGCAGGTCTTGCAGCAGTCGATCAGAGCCGGCGGCGGCCGGCGATTTCTCCGGCAGCTCCATGTCCAGGGCATCACCGCCGACGTCCACGAAAGCCAACGTCCCTAAAACCGCACAAAAAGACCAACAAAGGTGATACCGTGTCATGGCAAAGACTGCGGGATAACCCACCCGATAGCGGTAAGAAAGAGGACGCGTGCGACGACCAGGGGGAGCGACCTTGGAAGGGGGCGGAGGTGGAGACAACGAGGAAAGGAAGGCCACAGAGACCAATCCAACTCCTCCTTGTTCTCTGTTGCCGCCGCCGCCCTTGCCATCGAAGACCGGCCGGCGTGAGCGTCGTCTGGTTTCTGAAGGGGAGAGAGGGAGTTGGTCTCGATCACGGGTGCGTCGGGATGAGCCATTCAAAAGGAAAGCAGAAACAGTAGCAGCTACAGCAGTAGCAGCTACAACAACAGCAACAACAGCAACATCAGCAACGGCAACAACAGCAACAACCGCAGCACTACCTATGCGCCCTAACTTGTAGTCCAATATTTATGCCTGGAGCGGTCTTCATTTTTCAGTCTCAACTGAAACCGCGGAAGGACCAACAAATCCTACCAGTCTCCCAAGGGGATGGATGGGGGATCTCTCTGCTGCTGTATCTCACCCTCAAACACGTCGGTTTCCTGCCCGAGATACGACATGATGGAGTCCTGCTCTTCCTCGTCGTTGCCTCCCTTTGACGAAGCCAGCCGATACACCCCCGCCTCCTCGCACAGCACGGCCAAGTCAGCGCGCGAGCCGGGCGCGATCACCACGTGCCCACCCCCACTCTGCAGCCTCGGCGCCTGGCGAAGGTAGACCCCGTCTCTCGCTAGCGTGAGCAGCGTGCAGCCACTTGAAGCCTTACCCCCCCCGCTGTGGTCTTCGGCGGGGCCATCTTCTCGCCGTCCCCCTTGGCCGGTGCCTTGTGCTGTAGCCGTAGCGGTGGCGGCAGCGGCAGCATCTGTGGGTACGAGGGACACGTGCATGTGGTCGTTGTTCCCGCCGTGGATCAACCGGACGCGGAACGCCTCTCCCGGCTGCGCCTGGACGATCGGCTGGTACTGCCCGTTCACCGTCGCGAAGTGCAGCACCTCGCTTTCCCCTTCCTCATCTTGGGCTGTTTCCCCTTTCTCGTCCTTGCTCTCCGCCCGGCTGCTGCCGCCGCCGCCACCGTACAGCGGCATGTTGCTGCCGGCTATCTCGGAGGCGGCCTTGTAGTTGCGCAGGGTGCCTGGTGTCATGCCGTGGGCCGTGTTTGTGCGGAGCAGGGTATGTACGCGGACCGCAGATTTACCGAACGGAAAAAAGCGCGTGGCATTTTTCGTTATTGGTGTTGTCAAAGCCCCAGCAGCACGCGCGAGAGAGAGGGGGGAGGCGGGGGGGAGAGTGAACGGCTGGCCTTGAAACCATCGCAACCCGATTGCTTTCTGATCACTGATCAAATACAGGAGGCGGAAACGAAGAGCAAATGGATGATTGGATGCGTAACACAAGAGGGGAAGCGGACCAGCGCGCGTCGAAAAGTCAAGGAGTGGTGAGCTTGAATTTCTTGCTCGAAAGCAAAGTCTTCGCGCACAAATCCCCTCCCTCCCTACCTACGGAATCTTCCGATTTCTTTTTTGCTTCATCAAACTTCATACCCCCCCCTGTGCCCCCCTCGAATTCTTCCCGACTCCAGCGCTGCCCATATCTTAACCTGACTCAATGTTGGTCTCCTGCAAAACCATCACGACCTCCCGCATGGCCTCGATCTCAGGGGGAAGGCTCCCTTCGGGATCCTCAACGACTATAGCTCCTGACATGCCACCCAGCGTCTGCATGGAGCTAGATCCCTCTGTTCTCGCACAAGTAACACCGACGCGCAAGGCAAGGGTGAGGAGGCGGGGGGGGGAGGTAGGGACAACTTCTCAAGCGTGTCAAGAGGCCACCTCGTAACCGTTGCCCATGTGAATGAAGACATGGCTATAGGCGACGTGCGAAGACAGCAAGAGCTGGGGAACGTACAGAAGAAGGTGCAGCTGCAACAGCAGCAGCAGAAGCAGAGAGAGATAAAGAGAGAGACAAACAGACAGAACGTAAAGAGGGTGGTAGAACAATCAACAAGCGAGAGAAAACAAGGACGATGCGAGGCCAGCCTCTTACCGAAGTGCGGATGGTAGTAGAAGGTGCCCGGATAATGGTCGGGAGGGAGATCGTACACGTACTCCAAGCTATCGCCGGGATTCGCTCGTCTGCGAGATCACAACACGAGAAGGAGCCCGATGAATCGCAGAAGAAGTGACGGCGGGAGATAAGTACGATTCGCTAACCGCAGGCTGCAGGAAAGGGAGAGGGAAGGGTCTGGGTTTGGGGTGTTCATGGACAAGGTTTTCTGTAGCTGCTGCGACTAGAAGAGACGGCGGCCATGGGTGAACGTTCCGAGCGCACAAGACTTCGCGTTTCAACCAGGCAGGCATTCGTACGAACGGTCGCACCCAAGCATCACTGCAGTACTGCTGTAATGTACGCCGAACAAGAAACACCACCTCTTGCACTATGTGACGGTTATCTGTTTGGCACTAGCTGTTTGGCACGACTGATCCACGGAGAGGCCTATGTTCAGTCTCACACCCCCGCCCTCCCGAAGATCGCTGCATCGGCCGGTTACCCGCACGTGGCCTACCCCGACCCTAGGGGTGCCAAGGTCTGAAAACGACGGCTATGTAGAACAACGAGTACTCCCAACCTTCTCTCGCTTCCCTCAGCCCTCCCCCATCCCTCCCCCGTACACCCGCGGCAATCAAACCCAAAAACGAAACCGTAGAAATCCATCCGGCAATACACACGAAGTAATGATCGAACCCTCCATCACGCGCTACACTCACCGGTAGATGTTGTCGCTCACCCCGGACGGCGACACGTGCAGCCCGTGCACGTGCAAGTTCGTTACGTTCGGCCAGGCCTCCACCTTGCCCTCCAGCGCCGCCCGCCCATCGCCCCCCCCCCCCCCCCCCCCCCCCCCCCCCCCCCCCCCCCCCCCCCCCCCCCCNNNCCCCCCCCCCCCCCCTCGGTCCCCCCGCCCACCCCAGGGTCTCCCTCGGGGGACTCTAAATCGTTCACGAGAGTCACCACCAGCCTGTCGCCGGGCTTGACCCTGAGGGTGGGCCCCGGTACCGACCCCTCGTAGGCCCGGACGTTGAGGGGCGGCGCCAGCGGGCCTGCCTGCGCGACGGTGGGCGTGATACGCAGGGTGGTTCGGAGCTCGCCGTCGTTGGAGAACCGGTTCTCCGGAGACTTGAGGTTCTCCGAGAAGGCCGTCAGGGTTAGGCCGGCCAGTGGCTGATTGGGGTCGGGAACGAGCGACGCGCGGGGGGTACAGTAGTTTGACGAGGACCGAAACGCAATAAGCATCAAGGCGGCGGGCGGAAAGGCGGGGTTGCTTGACCTTGACCAACCACGTCTTGGTGTGTGTGTCATTCCTACATGACGCTTCACCGTGTTGTCCTTTTGTGTTCCAGATGCGTCTCTTGATACTAGTGCCCCCGTGGATGCATTTTTGCTCTCGTGGGGGGGTGGTGTAAGCTGTGGCGACGTGATGTTGTATGCTTTGCGGCGGACCACCGTGGAAAGGCGAGGGAATGGTGCTATGTTGTCTGTACCCTACCGAGCAGGAGGTGTTGCTGAATGTCCAGGCTACGCTACGGGCACCGCGCACGTACTAGCCGCACCTGAAGATGCCTTGACAAGTTTTGGCATCCATCAACAATCCCACCCAATACGGTCACTAGCAGTAGACACCTACCGTGCGGTCTTGCCTATGCTCCACTGACGAGACATGATCCAGGTCGTTGAGAAAAACATCCCCTCTGCAGTAGATGCCTTTGTGGTCATCGTGAGAAAAAAAAAAATGACTGAAACATATTTCAACGGACCCAAGCACCATCGTCCGTGGTATGAGCTGTCAAGCAAGCTACGGTAGACAGCCAAACTCGTGCATGCCCCTATCGTGGTTGGAATATACCGAAAATAAATAATGTATGTGACCCCGCGCTTCCGGTAGGACACCTGGAATACAGAGACTAGGTAGGCGTAGAGAATAGATAACCGGAGCTTTCAACAGGCCGGTCGATAGAGAAACCCCATCGCCGAGAAATATGGATATCACTAGCCAATCACCTGCCGATCCTGCCACCCAGTTGACGCGCTTCCACCGGCAGCAGCAGCAGCGTCGGAACCTGCGCCGAACACCTGAAGGAGTGCAAGGCCGCAAAGGACTGCTACTGCAGCCGTTGCCAACGCTACCGCCACTGCTGTTCTCGGCTTCGCTCTGGATACAGCATCATGGAAAAGAGACCGCGAGCGTTGATGAGTGCCCATGGTTGTTTTTTGCTTTTTGAGACTCCTCGTCCGTATGTGGCGCATGGACGATAATACAGAATGCGACTGAGTCAACTGTAAGAAACCTGATTGTGCTCTTCTTCGTGGAAGGTAGCTCGCACCCACAGCTGAAAAGACCAAATCCTAACGTACATAGTATCCTGACGTACAACCAGCAGGCATGCCGCACCCATTGGCCGAGCTACGGGTACCGGCATGCATGCGCTCTCGTGCTACAAATTGCCGGCTGATTAAGGTGTTCATTTCGACTGTTCTACCTTAGACCGCTAACGTTCATAGTTTTTCGTGTTTCGTACTAAGTACTGCTGTACATGCTGAAATTCAGATCCCCGCGTTCCGAAGCTGACCGTCGTTGGAAACACCCCAAATGTCAACTTCGGCAAGCCAACGGACACTATCTCCCTCCCTGTGCATACGGTGTCAAAATCCTACACGTATCAGATAGGAGGTGCATGCACGCGAAGCATGCGTACGGATGCGTAAAAACAACGCCGCCATTTTACACGTGCGTGTATCTGGAATCGCTTTCATAGATGAGCATTTTTTTGTTGCATGACTTGAGGGAACGCCACTCGTAAAAAAAGTCTCACGTAAATCGTGACGGGTCAGATGACCTGCTGGGTCGCAGACATCCCTTGCGGTGTGTTGCCACAAGATGATGTTTTTAAGAGCCAGTGGGACACGCTGCTGAATCCACGTTCAGCGGGCAAGCTGCCCCCGCTAACTCTACATGCTCTACCGTTACCTGCACCCTTACCGGATAGTGTGCACCCTGTTTAGTCACGTATTTCGAGAGGCCGAGGGCCTGGTACTTACTCGCGGCCCAAAAGTGCAACTTACACCAGACAAGAACATGAACCCTTTTCTTCGTCAGCGGTAGGAAACACTTTAAACGACGACATCCAGGTGTGATCCTTCACAACTACATGCATACGATGGCACGATCCCTCTCCCCGTGTGGGCGCAGCAAACTCGGACAACAGTACTTGAAGTAGTGTGTGTCACGGGTGATAGTTGAATAAGTGTACAGATCTTGGGTGTTTGCATACCATACGGAAGTCTGAAGGTGCAACAAAGTACAGCAGTAGGTAGATTCGGTAAGCTCGTGGATGACGATGGGGACAAAATACTTGCATTAAATAAAATCGATGTTCAACTCGGCGTGCGTTGCTGACTCTCTCACCTCATTAAACAAGGAGATCCATCGGCAGAAGTAGCAGCACCATCGTATGGGCCACTTCTATCTCTAATAGTCTCGTAAGAAAGTCTCTGCAGCGACATGGTAACGGGGAGCTGTGGTCTGTGTGGATCTGCCGCGAACGAATGAGTGGGAGGGGGTCGGCTGTCAGGCAAATCATGGAAAGGGTGTCCGAAAGGTTCGCGCGGCCGTGTCCAACCGGGAGACAAAACGGTGCCAAGATCGGCACATCGTCGGCGCCGCGCGCCCCAAGCCCTGCCACGGCTGCCACCGCGACGACGGCCCGGCATCTAGGATCTTGCTCCCTACACCAACATATTCTATGGACCACACGATAAGGGGTCCTGCGATGGATCTGCTCGCCGAGCTGACAGTTCTTCACAGCCACGTTGAGAGAGAGCTCGAAGGCGTCGCGGTCGCCGTGAACGACTTGTTTGAGGAGGATCATCAAGCAGCAGCATCAACGTCGGCAAGACTGCAGCTGTCCAAGAATAGGATCCTGGCGGCTCTCACTCGGCAGCGGATCCTACTCTGGGAGTTCTCGACAGAGAGCGAGCCGGCAGCGGTGTTCGCTCGCTCGGAAGATAGCGACGGGAATCTCGGGAGCCGCCACCAAAACCCAATCCACAAACCCGCCGTTGGCTTGATTGCGGATAATAAGCAATGCACCGCGTGCGGCCGGCCCGGCAACCCCAGCAGCGGTTTGAGCGGCCAACCACCGGCGAGAAAGTTGGACGAGGAGCTCCAGTGGAAGCGCGATACGCTCGTCCGAATGAAGCATCTTCTACGACGGAAGGCGGGAGACCTGGGAGCGACGGAGGCGGCGAGAGGGGCGATCAGGCGCGACATGGCCAAGGTCGATGCCGCGCTGCGAGATCTACAGGAATGTCAGCTAGGAGGCCTCCTTCCGCCTCAGATGGATGCTGGCGAGGACAATGATTCCCTAGGAGCATCACAGCCCCAGAAGAACGAAAAGGCCCGAGAGCAGGACAACAGTTCCAATAACGGTCGCTGCTACGCCGAATCTGTTCTTCGCGAGGTTGAGCTTCGGCTTCCCGAGTGAGTTAGTTGCAGTGTAGATGGTGCAGAGGCCGCGTGCAGACTACGGTGGGAGCCAACGAACATAGCGCATAATCTATAAGCCATTATGGTTGCACCTGCAGTAGGTAGAATTGGAGTTTCTCTGTTTATATATATGTATGTATGTGGAACTGCCCTTTCCGTGCTAAAGTGCTTCGCTCGCCATGGAAAGACGGGTGGATCTCTCGGCTTTCAGGCGCACTCCGTCGTGGTGACCAGAGAACATACGCCTACCTCCAGCTACCGTGGGTCGGCAAAGACGTCCTTAGTGGGTTCCAACGTTGCCGTCTGTCTTCGCACTAGAAACCGGTCCGATCTCTCTCTCTCTCTCTCCGTTCAGCACCTTCTAACATCCGTACTCTTCCTGTTATGGAATTCGAGAAGCCCATGCACTCACCCTTCTTATGATCGCCCTCCTGTCGCCTCCAAGCAGCGGTCTCGACGTGCTGCTGGGACGCATAGCAGAAGGAGTTCGACCCTCTCGTCGAAGAAGACCGACAACTACAGCCGACGCTCCTGCTCCTTCTACACCAATGCAGCCCGGAACCGACTCACCCTGTCCCATGGCCTCGTATCACGTTCCAGAGAACAACACGAGGAAAGAGGCGGTAAAAGCCTTTGGTCAATCAGGGCGCACGGTTGGCCCGAACGACAGAGTCGGGGAAAGGTGCAGCGGAAGTCCCAGGAGTTCAGAGAGGCTAGATGCCGAAAGTGAAGAAGCTAGAAAACTCAGAGCGGCCAATTTTCGCGGACAGGGGCTGTTGAACGTTGGAAGAGTAGGCACTGGCCACCGAACAAAAATATTCGCCGGAGCAGAAGAAGACTTGGTGCTGCAGGAGGTGAAGTCGTGCGGACGAGTGAAAGACAGCCCGAAAGCGGTCGTGATGGCGGCGAGGAAAGACATGGCTGAAGAGCACACCTCCAACCGCAGTGTCTTGAGCGTAGCAGCTGCGGTGAACCTCGGAGCCTTGAACACGAAAGGCCTGGCTCTTTCGGCTACCGTTACGGGTCGGAACAAGAAGAAACCGAGTCATAGGATCGGCGGGGCTTTCACGGGAGGGTTGGCTGGTGGTGGTGTCGGCAAGGAGAACGGTCGTCCATTAAGAGGGGAAGATGCCCACAAATCATCGTAAGTGCTGCATGCTAAGCAAGGGAGTTGGACATGGGTGTAACAAAGCGCGGAGAAGAATCAAGAGGTGGCGCACACGATTGTGGTGAAACCCAATGGGAGGTCGAAATCGTAAAAATGCGTCGTGTACGAGTCATGGAGGCGTGTTTCATGCCGGGAATTTCTGCTCCACTTGGAGATTCTCCACAGCAAAATGCATCCAATTATTTGTCTAGGAAGAAGGAAGCAGAGGAAGTGGTACTCCGAGAGTGCGTAAGGGGACCGGTCGTCACGACTGCTGTGGACATGAAAATAGACTTCCATGTTCTCCTTACCCTGCACACGTGATGGCCCCAAGGGAAAACTTAAAGCCTCGGGACAGGACACTTTCACCAGAGTAAGCTTCGGATCAAATCGCCCCGCAAGGCACGGACAAGAGAATCCCGCTTTTTTCACGATAACAAAGCAGGGGTTCTCGTTGGTTGAAACAAATAATCGAAACATTTCCACGTTCCCGACACCCTTACCACCCCTCGTACAAGAAAAGCGCCCCATCCAACTTTCTGCCAGCAATGTCACAACAAGAAATCATTTCAAAAACCGACGTTACAATCCTGAAAAAGTCGTCACTTCCCACAATCCAGAGCAATGTACAAACGTCCTGCTTCCAGTTTGGAGGTGATCCGTGCGGCAAATCCAAGTTCATGACAGGCAAGGTCGCCTTCCGCTCCCTAACTGCCTTGTCGGACTCTTTCTCTACCTTCGCAACGTATGCCTGCGTCTTCTCTCCCTCCCGCAACGTGCGCCTTACACCCAAACCACTTTTTGCTCCCCGCACGGTTCGCAATACGTAGATAAAAAGGATACAGACATGCATCGAAGAACAACAAGGGTTTCTCTCAAGCGGCGTGCCGTATCAATACCTGTCAGCACCATCACGTAGCGCTGTGTTGGTCTATGCGAGAGAGCGTATCATCGCCTACACCCGCACACACCCAATCTATGCCAACAGCACTCTAAAAATTCAACAAGATCGAATATTCATTGCTTTCCCTTTTCCACAGAGGAACAACACGTTTTCCGGGAAAATCGTACCACATCATCATGAAAGTTGTAATCTACTTGTCTAAACGTTTGCCAAGAGCTACCGATTTGCGTGCTGCGCCAGTTCTCCATTTGCGCGGAATCCTTTAATGAGTACATGTAGCATCGTCTTCCAAGTTCCTTCGCTTTCCCACCGCACACGTCAGATGCCCAGGATCTTGTTGACTTTCTTAAACTCGTCCCTCGCGATCTTTAGACTCTTGTTCGCTTTGGTGATGAATTGGCTCCCCTTTTGACATGACCAGAAACAAACACCCGAAGTCAAAAGTACGCGCAGCAAGGCAAAGAAAAATCGTAGAGATTGAGCTACGTGAAAACACAAGTGACGCGTTAAAAGAACACGGAGAAGAGTTTCACGGTACTAAAGGGTGCAGCACCTGCAGATGGCAACGACCAAGGTAACCTCCAATACTATCGCGTGTGTCCGCAGGGCTTCCACGACGTCGGCCGCAGCGATATGAAAGGGTTGGAGTCCTGTCCATGAGCTCCAAGCGTGTTCCCAGCAAAATCACTCGCAGTATGCCTCAAAAGCCACCGAGAGTGCGTACAAAGGGGCAGTTCGATAGCCAACAGGATGGAGAAAAAAAGCAAACAACCCTCCTTTCCCCCAACGGCATCGCCAAACACGGATCGTTGTCTACCTCAACATGCACAACATGCAGATCATGAACTACAAATGTGCACCGTTTCTTGGCTCTCGCTGCACTGACCTTGGTGCCGCCTCCCCCCGAGTAGTCCGCGAAGTTAGCGGAGTAGAGGTCGTTCTCCGCATCCCCCAGAGCGGTCAGCACCTCCATGTACGCCTCCACGTACTCGATCACGTCGATGTCGCCTTGCTGAAAAATTGCAGACGGTACACGCCCAGCAACAGCAATGCAAAAGGCGGCTGTTTGGGACAAACATACTTTCTGAAACCAGGTCCAGGGGATCTCCGGATTCGCCGGCCCGCTTAGCCGTCGTAGGGGTAGCGCCTCGCGACGCTGGTCCCTTGCGGGTAGGGCGGCCTCCCTTTCCCTCGTTGGTTGACCTGGTCAACGGAGTCACCCTCGTCATCGGAGTCATCCGACGAGTCGTCCGTGTCCGTCATCTCCTCCGGGTGTTTGATCCCCTGTTGTCGCCAGCTCCATAGTCAGGGTCCGACAGAATGTCGCAGTCGTGGCATTTTTCGCCGTCATCCGATGACGGCGAAAAATGCCACGACTGCGACATTCTGTCGGACCCTGACTATGGAGCTGGCGACAACAGGGGATCAAACACCCGGAGGAGATGACGGACACGGACGACTCGTCGGATGACTCGTCATGGATGACGGCGAAAAATGCCACGACTGCGACATTCTGTCGGACCCTGACTATGGAGCTGGCGACAACAGGGGATCAAACACCCGGAGGAGATGACGGACACGGACGACTCGTCGGATGACTCGTCATGGATGACGGCGAAAAATGCCACGACTGCGACATTCTGTCGGACCCTGACTATGGAGCTGGCGACAACAGGGGATCAAACACCCGGAGGAGATGACGGACACGGACGACTCGTCGGATGACTCGTCATGGATGACGGCGAAAAATGCCACGACTGCGACATTCTGTCGGACCCTGACTATGGAGCTGGCGACAACAGGGGATCAAACACCCGGAGGAGATGACGGACACGGACGACTCGTCGGATGACTCGTCATGGATGACGGCGAAAAATGCCACGACTGCGACATTCTGTCGGACCCTGACTATGGAGCTGGCGACAACAGGGGATCAAACACCCGGAGGAGATGACGGACACGGACGACTCGTCGGATGACTCCGATGACGAGGGTGACTCTGTTGACTCCCGTCATGAACCACGGCGGGTTATCTACTACCGCAAGCATTTTGGAGGAGCGACACGCTTAGTGCAGTTGTCCCCAACAAAAGAATACTCCGCACAGCGTCATCTAAACTACTTACGAAACCAAAAAATAACAAACGGCCGGAGAGAAGGGGTGCACGCAGCAGCACAACTTTCTGACGCCCGGCAGCGGGTTGCCGTACAACACGATACGCAACAACGACAGCGTACTGAGGTAATCGTCCATCAAAGCTTATGAAAACGTGGCGGGAGTCATATCGACAAAGACCTCCCGAATCAGCCATCTACCTCGCCCTCACCAGCACGAGCGCTTTCTTTCATAGTCATTCGATTCATGTTCCATCGCTCACCGACGCCTCCTCCGCGTCCCTGATGCTCGTGAACGCCTTGCGGATCGAGCTCAGTGGGCTCGAAACGCCGATGGTCCCGATCAATCTCCGGATCGCGTCCCCGTCCTGTCTCGCCGTGTACTTCTCCCAATTCTCTAGCACGTCTGCGGCAAGGAACGCACGTGGTATGCCACATTGATATGTCAGAGAGGTGCGGTGGTGGTGGGGAGCGAAGAAACATAACGTAGCAGCACGCGATTAAGAAGGGGGTTGCACAAAGAAGCACTTCATCCACAACCGAGCGCTTACAACCAACAGCGAAGAAGGCCACGCAGAGTCTCAAGTGCGAGACAACGGAAAAACGGATCAAACTTGTATGGTACATGTCTTGCGACAAATCGGTACATCCTTCGCCCGACGTTTCGTGCAACTCTCGTAGTATAGAAGTACACGGTGCTGCAGCAATCCCTTTGGATGAAATTCGGGCAGTGTTTTGCTTATTTTTTTCTTTTCGGCTGGGCCGACGATCAATGCGGACAACCCAAGAACCGAGCGGCGTGGGTGTCCTTCCTCGCGCCTCCCTCGAAAAGCACACATACCTCACGCAAACACCAGCAGTGACACGCAGCAGCAGTCAGAGAAAACCGTCACCTTCGAGAGACTGGTAGCACTTGACCAGCAGGGGGAACCAGGAAGCGGCTTCCTTCGGGTTACCCTGTGGTTTAAACGTTCAAACAAGGAACGAGTTCTTGAAAACAAAAAAATGCTGTTTACCTCACTATCTTGCGATAATTTAGAAGAGTTGCCAGTGAAGGAGAGACCATAAGAATCGTCAACCGCCAACTCGTGAACGTTGCTGTTCTTAGCTGTTTTTTACGAAAACAACACGAGCCCATCTCTTCCACAGAGAATCATAGTTTAGGATGCTATTTTCTATTTTCGGACCGGGGTCGCACGAAAGTCTCGCACTCCACGGGGTTTCGAGACGGCAGGCCACAGTCCCCCTGAAAGGAAAGCTTGAATGCCGTAAATCTGATGATGTCTCTTCGCATCACAACCCGCGAGACAAATAAAAAATAAAAATGCCCAATCCAGGGTCAACAACAGGAGTAATGGGGGCGATGTGCAATGAACCGACCTCGTCGAGTTCGGTGGTACAGGTACAGTTAGGTACAGCAGTTAGCGCCCACAAGGCAACCATGTGGTCAATGCTACAAAGGAAGACATGGACATTGAGACTCGAAAACCTCAAAAAAAAAAAAACACAAGTGAGCTACAGTAGCGGCTACGGTTTAAGCGAGGGTCGGTACAAGCCAATTTCACTCTCAAAAATCCGGCTTTCTGTTATATCGTGTTGGCTACGGTATAAGAGAATTCTCTTACACAGTATCTCACAATAAGAGAATATTCTCTTATATCGTAGACAACTAAAGGTCGTGAAACAGGGACTCTCGCGCACTGACTACACTCGCATGCCAACATAGGTCATGAAGAGAGCGTATCATGCATGTCACTTGCGCAGCTAGCGTTACCACGTCGGGGCCACCTCCAAACACCGCTCATTCTCTTGGTTGGCAAGCACGTGGACCCAAGTACTGCTGTACGTGGTACGCTTTTGGTGGATCTGCGTTCGGAAAATAAATCATCGTTGTGTGATGCGATGCACATTTTGCACGTGGACACGTAAAAGGTTTTTGGTTGAGTTGTTTTATAGCTGTGTTTCATAGTCGCACCTCTTCTAGAAGGACAACACGAGGCAACGAATGCACCAGCACTCAAGAACGACGCACCCGTTTACACAATGCAACCCTTCCTCCCACCGTACCCTCAA